GCTCAAAATATACCCAGACAATTAAACTTAAATCTCTCTCTCTCTCTCTCTCTCTCTCTCTCTTATTAATTACAATGCTTTAATTTCATTTTATAATTGTAATACTTTATCAAAAACTCATGTTTATCTAATAGCATAATACCATCATGATCGGCGCGTACGGTCACAATATTATAAACAAGTGGTTTTTGCCCGATCATGGTCAATATCTCTGAGCATATCGGCCTATCAGTCGCTTTGCCGGCAATCATACGGGCCAACAGCTCCTTAAGCTCCGGGTGTACGTCCTTCCTATGGATTGCATTTAAATTAATACATTTATATAATTATTTTAAAATTATAATATATTATAATTAATTAATTAATTATATCGAATATAATGTTATTTACTTGTTTACATCGAGGTTAAAAAATTGAATCAACATAATGCCCAGGCTAAACACGTCGGCCTGTCTGTTATAATCGCCGCCCCATTTTACTTCAGGTGCTTTATAGCTAAGTGTGCCCAAGCCTTGCGTGTGTTGCGATGCCGACTCTTCCACCTTGGCCAATCCGAAATCGCATATCTTAATTACAAAACTATCACCATCCTGTTTAATCAGTATATTATGTTGTTTAACATCCCGGTGCATTATGCCCATGCCGTGCAAATAGTCCAGACCCTGGAGTATTTCTTCGACCAAGGTGAGTTTAATGAAATATGGCACCGGACGTATAACCTCGCTAGTTTTGCGTGCGTATATATTGTGAATAATATCGTACACATCTTGAAGGTTGTAATCGCAGTAATCCATCATAATGTAAATTTTATCTAGTTTGTTATCTGATGCCCCTTGTTCACGCCAAGCCGCATTGTATTTGAGCACGTTTTTGTGATTACAAGATTGCAATAATTCAATTTCACGGTTAATGTATTTCTCATTTGGATCATCTATAATTATTTATTTAATATACGCAATATTAATATTAAGCAATGTATTAAAATTGTTTTATTTGTTTATAATAATATTTATACAATGTACATAAAGTGAAACATACCTTTGACAAGTAAAAGTTGTTTGACTGCATCAACATGGTTGTTTGCTTTAGATTTAACACGGAACACTTTACCAAAACTACCTTCGTCAATGAATGCGACATTGTCATAATCGTTGGTAAACTTGCCATTTGCAACATTAATTGGTTTACCAATAACTTCTTCAGTGATCATACTCTGCATACTTCTCGCGCATAACATTTTAACAATATAATATGCTTTTAAATATTTATGTTTATCAAGTAGAGCTAGGCCAATTGTGTCTGATTCAACTTGACCCGTATTGTACATTATAAGTGGCGATCGAATTTGGTTTAAAATTTCGGCACATGTGGGTCGCATTCTAAACACCCCGTTCAACATTTTTGCAATTATACCCTTTAATTCGCTATATGTCTCAAACCTATTAAAACAAATTCAATGTTTATTCACGCACAGTATATAAAGTGCATAATATACAGTAATTGTATATAAACTTTATATGTTTGAATCCAAACCAAACGGCACCTAGATGATTTATAAACTTATTCAGCGTTTAATTATTATTAACATTTTGAGTTAGGGTATTGCTGGGCAATGTACTTACTATTAGTAAGTTGGAGTAGTAAAGCCAAGCGTCATTTCAATATTAAAATTATATTTTAATGATTAAATTAAGAATTATTAATCATTCAAATGAATGCATATATTAAACACATAGGTATTAATAAATAATAGTTGGACGTCAAATGTTAATAAAATTGTTGATAATCGCAAACAATATCAGAAATCTCATTACTATGTGTATTTAATAATTAAATTTTGTTTTTAATGACATTTTATGGATAGACTGAAAGCCAACCACTATATAAATAAGTGAGAAACTATTATGTTGACATTCACGCGGTGTTTCTTGTTTAATACTGACAAACCTAAACTTATTAATTGATCGTTGCGCCACCTTTTTATGGCATACTGTGAATCTGTATCTGTGATATACTAAAAAAGATTGCCCAGGTTTAAGTTAGGGTAATATCAAATACTAAACAAAATGAAATGTTGTTGAAACAAAATAATTTATAAATAAATCATCTAGGTGCCATTTGGTTTGGATTCAAACATATTATGTTTTATAAATTCACATAATTTACTTATTAATGTTTATATTAAATAATTCAATCATTATTAAGCCAAGTGAGTATATGTCAGCCTGTGTAGTGTATTTACCACCCACGTGAACTTCGGGTGCCCTACAGTATAATTGAATTAATGATCATTTTATTATAAATGAATTATCATTTAATTATTTACATGTAATCTTTAGAACCGGCTGCATTTGTGTTGGATTGATCGGAAGATAATTGTAACTTAGCCAGACCAAAATCACCTATTTTTACCCACCTATGACTACTTTGCTTTAACAATATATTTGTTGGCCGTAAATTTCTATGTAATATATTATTATGATGTAAATACTGAATTGCCTCAATAATTTCGTCAGTCAAATTTAACATGATGAAATATTCAACATTGCACAATTGTTGGTTAAATTTGCGGCCAAACGTAACTACGTTAAAATCAATTATCTGTTTTAAATCGTAATCGCATAGCTCCATTTGTATGTATATTTTATTGTCATTCTCCCTCCACCAATTATAATATTTCACCGTGTAGTCCGATTCAAGTTTTGTCAATATTCTTAGAGTGGGTAAAATATGTGACAAATCGCTATTATCTAATTATTTATATAATTACAGTTTATTATAAATTATTGTCATAAATAAATTTTAAAATTTACCTTCAAGCTCGGTTATTTTGATTGCATAATTATTAGCATCAATTTTAGATTTAACATGGTAAACAACACTAAACTCACCTTGTCCAATTAGATTTAATTTGATAAAATTATGGTTAAAATTATTAGGTATAACAGGCGTAAACCTGTCTGTTTTAATATACTGTGTGTTTTTAACCAACATTTTTATTTCAATGTAATTATTTTTTATATAAAATATTTGTTGAATACAATATCTTTATGTGCAGTCAAAATTTATATTTAAACATGATAGTTTCCTAGACAACTAATCTATAAATATCGTGTAATAAATAATTTATTTACCTTAAAAACCCATAGATAAGCCCACCCATGTATAAGCCGAATCATAAAATATCAAAAGTAAAATGTTCTCATAGATAAACCGGTACCTATGTATAAGACAAGTTTTATACAAGGCAATTTTTTAAACATAACTTATGGACATTATTAGTCATTAGTTCTAATGTAAGTATACAGAATGCAATGCCGGACAATAGCTCACCTGGTAGACTCCACTATTCATGAAATTACCTAATTAAACAAAACAGAAACTTAATTTTAAAAAAGGCTGATATACCAATCTCTTGATTAATAGTTTATATTTAATGTCATAAACTCTTTTATTGCATATCATACTGTATATTAAAGCTTCGGAAAAGTAAACATATTCATATGAAACAAAGTGCCATGATCGTTTTATATATAAATACGCAATTTGGAAATATAAATTGAAAATTGATAATAGGAATTGTAAATATATTCGCGGAACTATAAATAGGCTGAACCCATAGATAAACCAATTCTCTAATTTTTCTATAAAATACACTTTTTTCATTAGATAAGCCGCGGCGTGTCTATGGGTTTTTAGGGTAATAAACATTACTGATAAAACACATCATTTTGTCAGCAAAATTTTTATTGTCTAACCATATAATTTATATTTTATTTTATTGTATGCCAAACCTAAATATTTGAAACCCAGATCGCTCTTATAGATAATGTATGTAGCTATACTAGTGAGCCCAGGTGGTAAAATCACAAAAGTGTACAACAGCTAAAATTATTGGTAGAAAAAAGTGTACAAATATCAATAGTATACACAATATTTATTTTAAAATTTTTCCTTTGAATGTCATTATATTAATATTACATTACTTTATATTGGAAATTTAATTAACACATTTTAACAATTCTATATTAAAATAAAAAATATCTAAAATACGTGTCCTTAACAATGTTTATGATAACATTTTACTCTATATTATGTTAAAATCTTTATTCAATGAAATAATATTTCGAATTATCAATTGTCTATAATTTTTTTACAATTTTAAAACATGATTTGTTGTTCATTACAAGGAATGGTTTACATTAAACAAAATGTTTTATAAAAGTTTTCATTGTTTGGGTTGATTTTTTTGTGATCAAATAGTGTACAAAATAGTATAAAAAATAAAAATAATCTACAATGAGCTAAAATATAGGACACTGATGCCAAATAGTGCACACCTGGTCACTCTAATCTATACTATAATGTTAATTGAACCGCTTATAAGCGGTGGCAAAACCGTTAATAAGTTAATTAAAAGTTTAACTCAAATAAAACATTAATGAATTTACTAATATACATTATAATAAAGATGTGTATAACATGAAAATTCAAAATTTTTAAATATAAATTAGTAAATATAATTATTTAATTAATTTTAAAAATAATTTTACATTTAGTAATATCAACATTGCATAGTCTAGTTAAATGTTTTATTATGTAATTTGAACATTTTTGATTACATTGTAAATTTTTAATAAAATATTTATTAATTTTGATTTATTCTCTCTCTCTCTCTCTCTCTCTCTCTCTCTCTCTCTCTCTCTCTC